CCCCCCCCCTCTCTCTCTCTCTCTCTCTCTCTCCTCTCCTCTCCGCGTCTTCTTCTCCTCTCACCCTTCGCATTTCTCTTCCTCCTGCCCCGTGCCCCATATCTTGTGATAAATATTTATCCTTCATTTCGTTTTTTTGTTTTCCACCTCGCAATCAGAGCGATGCCCGTTTTGTCGGCGAGTGTCCGCTGGCCGACCGCGCGCCGCGTCCGATTTGTTTTGCCCGGCCTCCTCGTCAAAACCATCCCCCTCTTCCCCTTCTTCTTCCTCTTCATCCCCTCTCCTCTCTCTTTCTCCCCACCACGGTTTCGAATGACAAAATGGCCGTGTTTGGTGGTGGTCGGCGTCTCGTCCGCGCCGCTTTGGCGAGGCCGGAGCGGGTTTCAGGTAGCAGCAACAGCTTTTTTCACAAAGGCAGGCACAGATAGTCAGGTGGGGCCCCCCCCCCCCCTTTCCCTCCGTGCGCGTCCGTTTTCTCCCTTGAATTTCTCGGAAAGCGCCCAAAAGTCTCTCCATCCCTCGTCTCTGACGGCGCCTCGTGTGTGTGTTGCAGGAGGCGGACATGGCCATCGCGCCGCTCACCATCACGTCGGAGAGGGAGCGCGTCGTGGACTTCAGCAAGCCTTTCCTCTCGCTCGGCATCTCCATCATGCTCAAGAAGCCCGTCAAGCAGAAGCCCGGCGTCCTCACGTTCCTCTCGCCGCTCTCCAAGGAGATCTGGGTGTGCGTCGTCTTCTCCTACATCGGCGTCAGCATTGTGCTCTTCATCGTGTCGAGGTGAGTGTCGGAAGTTTTTGTTCCGCGCAGCGTTTTGTCGCTTTCGTTGGCGGTGCTCATACCTCCTCCTCCTCACGCAGGTTCTCCCCCTACGAGTGGCGGCTGCTGCAGTGGGGCGACGAGCCCGCCGCGCACCGCGGCCCGGGCCCCGCGCCGGCGCCCGTCGTGGCCAACGACTTCAGCATCCTCAACTCGCTGTGGTTCGCGCTGGGCGCCTTCATGCAGCAGGGCAGCGACATCTCGCCGCGCTCCATCTCGGGCCGCATCGTCGGCTCCGTCTGGTGGTTCTTCACGCTCATCCTCATCTCGTCGTACACGGCCAACCTGGCGGCCTTCCTCACCGTGGAGCGCATGGTCACGCCCATCAACACGGCCGAGGACCTGGCCGCGCAGACGGACGTGCAGTACGGCACCCTCATCAACGGCTCGACCTACGACTTCTTCGAGGTTCGTTGTGGAGATAGCTAGATAGACAGTCAAATACTCGCGAAGAGTTTCAACTGTGACTACACTTGCAAGTGTTCAACTCGCTAGTCGTGCACTTGTATGTGTGCAAGTCCCCTTTTCACACTGATGTTTGTTCTACCGAGTTGAAACTTGCAAGTGGAAACTACGGAGTTGAATATCCGTAAACCTTGAACCGCTGAACTCTACATTTATCAGTGTAACTCTGAAAAATATCGTAAGTTTACCAAGCCCTATTTTCTGCGGGGCGAAGGAGGAGACCGTTATGAACTCTTTTTTTTTCACAGCGGTCGCAGATGACGGTGTACAGGAGGATGTGGGAGTTCATGGACTCGCACAAGCACGTGTTCGTCAACTCGTACGAGGAGGGCATCCACCGGGTGCGGCGCTCGCGAGGCAAGTACGCCCTGCTGCTCGAGTCGCCCAAGAACGAGTACACCAACGAGCGCGAGCCGTGCGACACGATCAAGGTGGGGCCGAACCTGGACAACAAGGGCTTCGGCATCGGCACCCCGCCCAAGTCGGCCATCCGCGAGCAGATCAACCTGTGCGTCCTGGAGCTCGGCGAGAACGGCGAGCTGACGAGGCTGCAGAACAAGTGGTGGTACGACCGGACAGAGTGCAGGCACCTCGACAAGCAGGTGAGTGACTCCGGCGGCGATTGTAAGAGCCAAAGGAGAAGCTGAATGGTGATCGTGATCGAATGGGGGCCGTATTTCCGTTGCAGGACCACACCAACGAGTTGTCGCTGAGCAACATCGCCGGTGTGTTCTACATCCTGATCGGCGGGCTTATAGTGGCGCTGGCCGTCGCACTCATAGAATTCTTTTACAAGTCGCACTCAGAGGCGACCAGAGCGAAAGTAGGTATCCATTAGCAAATGCACGACGGACAGTGTGCTTGTTGGCCTGACTCAAAGTGTTTCATTTGTTATCATTTTATTTTCAGATTCCGCTCTCAGATGCCATGAAGGCGAAAGCAAGACTAACTATGACGGGACCCAGGGACTTCGACAACGGGCGGGTGAGTATGGTGCGTACCTCCTCCAGCTTACTACTATTATTACTTTTGGTTTAATTCACTCTCTGGAAAAGCTTGGAAATATGAAAACCTAACAAAAAAATTGGGCATAACACAAAAAATATCATGTTTTGTTGCAGTCAGAGATTTCGTAGGCATAAGGCATTCGGATTGTTTTTGGTACTGTCCAGAACGAGTTTCAGAATGATTTCGTTTTATAAGGGTGACCCATATGTAATTCAGGGTCAGTTTACGACCAAACACCTGTTACGGCATTTTTAAACCCCTTTTCTCGCTCGCAGGGTGCGGATGGACCGGAGGGGGGGGGGGAGTGGGGATAAAGGGGAAAAATGACATAAAGCTTCGTTTCCCGCTTTGCCAAGAAAGTTTTTACTTATGTGGGGGATGGAAAAAGATAGGGGAGCAAGGGGAGGATGTCTCCCTGTGCCAAAGTGATAAAGTGCCATGTTGACGGTGAACTCGATGGTAGCATGGAAAGCGTTAGAGAGAGAGAGAGAGAGAGAGAGAGAGAGAGAGAGAGAGAGAGAGAGAGATGGGGGGGGGGCACAAGACGACTGCCTGCCTGCTGCGATTTTGGCGGATAGAATAAGTTGGCGTCTGGAGTTGGCGCCAAACGGCAGAAAAATGAAGTGAGAGTGGAGTGCGGCGGGGCGGCCTGACACGGAGGCGCAGGGGTCCAACAAGTAACGAGGTCATTTGCGGGGGACATGTGGAGGGCCAAAAGTTTTATCCGGCGGCTCGTCGCGTGGCGCGGCTGGCGGGGCGGCGAGGCGCGGGGCGGGCTGGGCTCGAGCCCGGAGGCGGCCGCAGGCGCGGAGCGCGCGGAGCCTACTACCAGGGGAGGTAGTTCCCTTTAGAGGCCACTGTACGGCATTAGGGGAGGACAGATAGCGGGGGCGTAGGGAAAAGGGTTGGCGAAATGTATGCCGCTCTTGTGAGTAGAGGGGGAGAGGGAGGGGGCGTTTCAACCCTGACACATACTCAAATAGAAAATAAAATGAAAAACCTAAATGCGTGCAGAAAAGATTTTGTTCTCAGAAAATAAAAATAATACGAAGTAGGTTGCTTAAAAAAATGTTAACTACAAATGGAGGATAATTTTTACTCTTCAAAAATTCAGGAACACCCTCTTGTCAATATGTAGTCCTGGATGAGCTGAAACAAACAAGCCACCGACCAATTCTTTATCACCACTCTCTCCGGAGAAATCCTGCGCGTAAACTTTAATAGAAGATATCATATAAAACTAGAAGTATACACTTGGAACCTCTTTAAAGTAAAGTTCATGGCATTCTGAGAGTGTTGATGTGGAGACATCCCTTGTGTTGAGAAATATACCCCCAGGTTCCATCCCTATACAGTGGCTCAGAGACTTCTTTTTTTGACAAATGTACCAAAAATGCATTTTGGGAGATAAAAGCCCCCTTAACGTTAATCGTATCGGAGCTAGAGATAGATTTGTTTTCAACAATGGCGGAAAGCCAAGTCTTTTGAATTTTGAAAAACGATACAAGGGTATGGGTTGTAGTCAAGGTGCCACACCGTTATATTATTTCATTCTGTCTAAGGAGCAAAACTGGTTGGGTCGCAGGCCCACCCGAAAGCCAGAGATAGTAAACAAGCGAATCGCGACTTGGTCGGCTCGACCTATGCCAAACGTTTGCAGGCTCGCCTGCCGAGCGCTTGTCCTGGCTGCCGCCCGCGGGTCGCAGGATAGGCAACCTACTCTTCACGCCTGTCAGGCGGGCTGGCCCGCCCGCGCCTACGCTGCGCTCGGCCGCTCGGCTGCCGCCGACGTGCCGCTCTGACCTGCAGCTGACGTGCGCTCTCTCTCTGTGTTGCAGTACTACAGCCCGGCGGGCCAAATGTCCGTGCCGGACGCGGACCAGGTGCACAGCAACACGCACACGCAGGTCTGATGGTGGCCGGAGGGCGTCCACCACTCGCGTCGCGGCATCATCTCTGGCCGGCTCGACGTGGACGACTCCTCGTAGCGTGTCGTCGACGCCAACCCGATACTCCTGACGCCGTCCCCGACGCCGTGCCGAGGACGCCTCTGCCTGTGCGGCTCGGGTGTGAAGCGTCCTCCGCCGTCGCCCCCCCCCCCCCCCCCCCCCCCCCCCCCCCCCCAGGGGCTCCGGCCCACGACGCAGTGGCTGTTCTTGGACGTCTCCTGCAAACCCTGGCCGTCATGTTCCCGCGTTCTGCGCCCGTCCAGAGACAACATTAACCTAGCAAAATTAATAAATTTTATATATATATTTATTTCCGTTGGTTTGGCGACCCTCCCCCTCCCCGGCCACTCGTTGGCGTGGACTGGACGAGCTTCGCGTGTGTCAAGAGTGCTGCCTGTCTGTGTTCGCCTCTGCCGCGGCCGCCCCGGAAGCGGGTAGCGGGTGCAGCGGCGCCAACCCGAGGAGGGCCCCGGGCTCTCCTTTCCCGCGACGAAGGACCGATAAATTTAGTCCGGGAATTTTGCAAAATGTGCCTGAAAGTGAGTGTGCGTATGTGTGTGTGCATGTGTGGGTGTGCGTGTACTCCCATCCTTCAAAATCATGAACTTTCTCTCGAAGAGAGGGAGAGAGACTTCGATATTATTTTTTACTCGTCGTAGAGCGTACTTGGGAGCTGTTTCTTTTTTTTACAATGTGAATGAAATTCGTGATAGTAATGTATAATTTGTGCCACTGAAGAAAAAATCTATGAAACAATTATTTACAAAGTGACTTACGTATTACTTGCAGACAGGGCCTAAATTTGACTAAAGAGTGTAAGCTGCATACAAGCTGCATAAATTGCTTAAACAACCAACAGCACCCAACTTTCTGTGGCAGTGTTCATTCTGTAAACAGATTTTGAGTTCGTACGTATCTTTACGTTCTGCCACAGTTACACTTCCGAACATTACCAAAATAAGGCAGCCGACAAATAAAAGGAATTTTCTGACTTGGCTATTCTTTGGAGTTTGGTCCTTTGAAAGACTGCTCATTTGCATATTCTAAATCTTAGTTTCAATTGGAAAAAGCTGTTTGATTGTGATGTTTTAAAATATTTTGCTCTTTCCAACTGATTGGAGTGAGTATATTCTCAACCTGACTGCCATTGCCCATAGTTCAAAAATGTTAAAGTCAACTGTAATTCAGCGGTTTCCCTCAGCACGTGTCTCAAAATTGTTCAGAGTTCAGTAACATGGTCTGTTGCAAAATACAATGTTCTACTTTACATATCAGAAATAATTACACCTCAGTACATCTCAGAGGAGAATCAACTTCTAGATTTTGTTTGCTGAGAACACCTGCTGCAACTCTAGTTTTAATTGAAATGAAAATGACAAATTGGTGTCACTACAAAAAGAAAATGGCTGAACCTCTAGATATAAAGGTTCATGTTTACCCAGTGTTAAAGGAATATAACACGTGATAGGCTGTAAAGAGGCATGCTCAAGGTAGCATATATATATTGAGAAGGAAAGGGATGTAAGGTGCTGACACAACCTAATGTGAATACATTATTGTACATAAAACAATTTGTACAGTGGCTCATTGCTTTAAATCTACTGATAAACTAAATGTTTTGTA